ATTTTAACATTGTGTGTGTGTTTCATTGAAGATGGCAGCAAGGTATTGAGATTAACTTTTTTATTATATTTTATGCATACATACAAGTGATTTCTTTTTTGGGATTTAGAGTGTATAAGAACTGCCCAAATGGTATTATTAAATTTAAACACAAACGCAGGTCTACCAGACGACAACATGCTCGTAGAAAACGACAACATAATACACTCATCCAAAAGCAGAAAACGCTTTAAAATAATCGAAGCCTTAATAATAAAACTTAAGAAACCAACTCTTAATAATATTAATTATGAACACGGACAGAATGTACTGACTGTGTTCGGGAATTAAAACATTCCTATTGCTAAAATATTACCATCACCATCTACAGGGTGCCCCACTAAAAAAAACAAAAAAAAAACAGGAAATTTGGTACTTTTTATTTAATTGTTGGAATTTTTACAGTTATTTGAAACAAAAGATAGAAATTTAGTAGCTTAAAACAGAACAAAAAAAATCAAATGTTAGATGTGGCGTTCAGACTAAAGAACTCTGGCAAAATTTCTTGTTATTTTTTCAGTCCCCAAGTTGAATGTTCTTTCTTAAAGAGAACAATGACCTCATGTTGCAAATTTGATAACTGCGGCATCCTGGAACAACAAATGGTTAAAAAATTTATACGTTAGTTAATTTTTTTTAGTCCATTCCTATAATAAAATATATAGTTAATTTTTTTTTTATGTGTTAGTTAATATTTTTCATCGTGAAGTAAATCTAAAATTTCCTGTTTTTTTTTTTTTTGTGTGGGTCATCCTATACATATTCAGTCAGTTATGTGCCATGTATGATACACGCTTAGGCGATCGGGATTCTTTTCGATATATGACTGACGAGGCAGATTTTTTCCCCGCAGTAGGTTGTCATTTCTTTCTGCGGTAGACCAGTTGCCATCCAAGGCTATAGAACCCGGTCTGTCCTGCTATTTACTCATAGCTTGGAGAAGAAGAGGATCCATACCTTTCCCCGAGGTATTAGCACGTAAGTGAATGTAATGGATATATGTATATATATATATATATATATATATATATATATATATATATATATAATAATTAAGAAAGAGACAACCTTAAGGTTCCTAGTCTAATTTATTTCCCCATAAAATATATTTTCCTGGTTCATTTATATATATATATATATATATATATATATATATATATATATAAGTTTTCATGAGGTAGTATTCATATAAAATATTCAGTTTTTCTTGTAAACTAATTATGTACAATAATGAATAACATGAAATATAGGTGAACAATTCAAACTAACTTTTTGTTACCGTTTCTGTAAGCCTTCTTCGTTGCTTATTTGCTCCGTCCGTGGAATTCTCAGCATCCTTCTGTAGAACAAAATTTCTGTTGACTCCTGTTTCTTTTGCATTTGTGGTGAATGTTTCTAGCATTCACTGCTATGCAAGAAGGTTGATATCACATAGCAATACAGACTTCCTATTTCTTTATACTTTGTTTAGCTTTTAGAATACATTTTCAAGTAGTAAAAAATTTAACTGATACAAGATATTCCCACGTATAGACATCGGAATGAGAGCAATATAACCCCTGGGAATAGAATCAAGATTTCGGTTTTAAATTCTACAAAAGTTAACAATTATGAGAGATACCTGAAGAAGTCCAGAGGGTACGGCGGTCGGAACGTTGTGACTATAAAAACCAGGATTTGGACAGAAACTCGAGCAGATTTGTTAATCATAATTATAATTTCTCATACTAAAAATAATAAAATCAGACAAAATCTTGTTACAAATGTTTCTGCGTGTAGTCGATGAATCGATACTTCTTGAAGGTAAATTTTAATGTTTATAACAGATAGATAGATAGATAGATAGATAGATAGATAGATAGATAGATAGATAGATAGATAGATAGATTGATTGTATATTTACCTTTATTAAATCTGTTGCATAAGAAAGAGAAAACAATTTTGATGTCCTCAAAATAAAAGAAATCAAAGAAAAGAAAACACGAAAAAATAATAAAACATGATTTTCAAAATGCGTGAAATATACAATATTAAAGTAAAACTTTTTGTGGAAAGGTAATCAGAGTGACACAGCTAGCTGAATATTAACATAATGGAGATAGATAGATAGAAACAGAATGAGATAGATAGATAGATAGATAGATAGATAGATAGATAGATAGATAGATAGATAGATAGATAGAAACAAAATTAACATAGATAGATAGATAGATAGATATATAGATAAATAGATAGATAGAAACAGAATGAGATAGATAGATAGATAGAAACAGAATGAGATAGATAGATAGATAGAAACAGAATAGATAGATAGATAGATAGATAGATAGAAACAGAATGAGATAGATAGATAGATAGATAGATAGATAGATAGATAGATAGATAGATAGATATGAGCAGAATTAGATAGATATGAGCAGAATTAGATAGATATGAACAGAATGAGACAGATATGAGCAGAATTAGATAGATAGATAGATAGATAGATAGATAGATAGATATGAACAGAATGAGATACATATGAACAGAATGAGAGATAGATAGATAGATAGATAGATAGATAGATAGATAGATAGATATAGACAGACATACAAACATACATATGAACAGAATGCGATAGATAAATAGGCAGATCTCGAAAACCTTTCGATTTTAAACGGTTAATTAATATATCTCACACAGAATGTCCCTAGTTTATTGCATTTTAGCTTCTCAGAAAACATGCATATCAGCAAGAGAACTTTAACAGTACTTAGTACAACATTTAATAATAATTGTTAACGTGTTCAGAAGTCTTTCTTTCACTTCAGCGTGTGTGTGTGTTTGCGTTCTATACCCGGCGTTTTTTTTTTTTCGAGGAGAACTAGGGATGGAAGTAAATAGTGCGAGAGGCACGTTTTCACCTGATTGTGCGTTCTGATTAGCGACTTCCATGATGGCTTACGAGGGGGGCCTTTAAAGTGAACGCACAGGCGAGCACACAGACACAAGATTTTAGTTTTACACACAGCACAAAAATTAAAATGAGAACATAAGTATTGAGTTCTAGAAAAATAAATAAAAAACTTATTTTTCATGCAGCTTAATGCACAAATCTTTAAAAAAAATAACACATTTTATTCATTAAAATCTTTTAAGACGCTAGAAATAAAAAAAATTATCCATGGTCTGGAATTTAAGAACGAGCGCGTATTTGAGTTTTTCAAGATAGAATGTTTACTTTTTTTTTTAGCCTCCTGTAGCTAAAAGTTACGCATTTCTTGCCGATACCAGCGATCCGTGTTCTAGCCCAGGTAAAAACTAAAAAGTTTGTATTTCGAATGCTAGTTTTTAAGGCCGGTTTTCCCCGGTTAAAATATTTTGCTGTAGGAAGCTTCCAGCACTGTTTTAAAAATCAATATTTCCAATTCATTAAAATAAATAAAAAGAAAATCGAAGATATTCAAGATGATCTTAATTTATAACTTGCCAACTGACTAGTATTAGATTTTATACTTGCTATCGTTTGGCGAAAAAATAATCTACAAAGAAAGAAAAATATTTGCCTGGATGTCATTTAAACTCTAGAGGGCACATATGCACGGTCGACACCGTTTTTATTCGTCTACCCAAGGACACAGGAATAAATGAATTTATTGTTGTTTTATGTGAGATCATGAAATTTACATTGAATTATTCGATATTCGACATGAAAACAAATTGAAAAAACTGGCTTCACTACAGTTTACCGAGTCTATAGTCCTGGGGGAAGATAACAATAAATAAAAACAGTTGACTAAAAATGAAATTGAACGACATTCGTACAGTGCTGACAATTACGATGACAAATGAATTCAAAGACAACCTAAAAGCAACAACTAATAATTTAAATTGAAGAAAAGCTTGTCTATTATTGTGCAATTATATCCAACCTAATTACAATTAAATAACAGTAAATAAAGTAGTAACAATACTTCAATTAATTATTGTGATGAGATCGTTCAATGAGGCCTCAGGTGAATTTGTAAGTCAAGTCAATTGTGATTTGATTGTCACATTTTTAGTCAATTAGGTTTACTTATTCCATATGATTTTTAGTCAACTGTTTTAACTTTTAACTTTTAATTCAAGTCGTTCTTTGCCTCCAGGATCGTGAATCCGGTAAACGGTAGTCACGCTAAAAAATTCTACTTTCTAAGATCGATATGCTAACTAACAACAACAACGATAAAAAAATAACAATACATTTTTATTTTGTAAGTTTTATTTTTACCGCCACTCATAATTTAAATGTATTCCAATCCAGTGATATAACCAAACCCTTGTAGCTACGACCGTGTTCTTAGTAAAAATATGTGTGCCACGATGTGTAGAGTAAAAAAAAAATAATTTCTAAAACTAAAACTAATAAGACACTCAGTGTGGATCAATATAAATTCTGGTGATGAGCTTGTTAACCATCATACTCTGATAAAGCGCTATATATTTATTTACTTAGCTTCTGTGAGCTTCAAGTGCGGGGTGCAAGCGAGGCTCGAACTCTCTACTAGCAGATTGTTCAGCGGATCGGACTTGTTAACCATAGAACTGTACAGTCGGTGACGTTATTTTATTTATTTACATTTTTTTAACAAAAATGTCCTGATTAGAAAATTACTGATCAGTGAGAGACAGGCTCGTTAACCATTACACTAAGATAGACGTTGAAGTTTAACTTATTTTTTTATTTTTATTTTTCGTACAAGATCACAAAAGCGTGTAATTAACAAGCTTATCGCACTTCTTGATGTAATTCTGTGTTCTGTGTTAAATTTTTTAAAAATTTTAATAATATTTATTTTAAAAATTGTTTATTGTTTTTACGATGATACCTTCCTAGAGAGAACTATTTTTTTTTTTTTTGATAAAATTGTAAGCGTTTTTGTATAAATATTCAAGTTAAATAAACGAAGAATATTTTGTAAACGGGAAACTGTAAAAACATGTTATTGTTGATAGAACGGGGAATAGGAAGAAAAGAAATCCTGAGAGGTAACTGCTTCTACTAGTGTCTGTCTAAGTTAATGACAACTGCTGTGTAGTTAGCTAGAATTGTGTTTTGGGACGAAAACGTTTCATCAGTAATAGCATCCCCCTACTGCTTACTGACGACGACAGGATCACTGACTATATCAGAGCATGTGGTAGTTCCCCACCCCAAATTTTTTTCTTTCTTTCTTTTCTCCTCGGAAAAGGTACAACTACCACTACCACTTGTATTTTTTGGCTTCTTTAACATTTTGTTGTTGTTGTTTTTTCTTGTTTTTTTTTTTTTTTTTTTTTCAAAAAATTTCAACTACTTATTTTTATTTATTTTTATTATTATTATTATTATTATTATTATTGTTATTATTATTATTATTGTTATTATTATTATTATTATTATTTTATTTTTATTCGGAGATTCGACCTAGATCAACTCACTGTCTTTCTTTCATAGCTCGTATCTGAGAAAGTGGGAGAGTTATGTCTCTCTCTCCCTCTCTCTCTCTCACACACACAACACTCTCTCGCTCTCTCGCTCTCTTCTTTTCGAAACCTCCCTCTCCTTCATACCACCATCATCATTTCCTTCCGCCTCTTCGTCGGCTCCCACTTTTGCCGTGCCTTTTACCTCCTCCGTCCCCTCCTCCCCTGTTTTACCTGCCTCCCCCTCTTCCCCCTCCTTCCTTCCTTCATTAGTCGCACCCCTGCTTTTTTCGCTATCTCTATCCACGCTAGAGTGCACCAAGAAGGCGGTCGGTCGTTCGCTCGTTCCAGACCCCGTCGTCGCCTCTCTCGCCGCACCGTGTGAATGCGATGGGCTGCTGCAGAAACGCCGGGCCTTCACTCAGTATTACCTAACCGCCTATTCAAATTTAATTTATGATACAGTCCTTGAGTGTCCATCATTCCATCCTCCGTCCGTCCCTCTGAAATGTGGCCCGCGCAACCCAACCATCTCTACTCCAGATAGGGGACTTAATCCATCACGAGTTAACGGCCCTCATTCAATAAACAGAAACTAGTCAAATATTTGATGATTTTTTTTTCCTTTAACGAAGGAAAAAGTTATCAAAAACTTTTTTCATTGAAATCTTGTTTTTTGCATTCATTTTTTTTTTTTTTTTGGTGGTGACGGTGGTGGGGGGTGGGAAGGAGGGGTGTCCTTTACTGGATCACCTGGAACGGAAGTACACATATTAACATTTGACACAATAGTGCGATCGTCGGCGTCAGAGACCCTCGCTCCACCCCCGGTCAACTTTTCTGCGATTCGTCCTGTCATCAACGACGTTTCTTCAAGGCTTCGTTGACTATCCCCGATATAATTGTTTCCACTTGCTTTTTTCAACGTTGTTGTTGTTTTTATGGATAATGTCTTCCTGATGCATGCGTTGGTGTCGGATGAAACACAAACACCTGGGGGGGAACAGGGGGGTCGTGCGGACATTGAGGGGAGACAGCGTAACGATCCCAGCGCCTTTGTACGGTCGCGGGCGCCCCGGGGGTCGCCCGGGTCTCCTGGAGCACCTGGCAGCTTTCTACGCATCGCGTAATTAACGATCGAGTCGAGCTGACCACGGCTAGACAATACTGTGATCGCCCTGAGAGCGTCATCGTCTTTAGAAATTCATTTTTTGTATTGTTGTAAATCCGCTTAAATTAGCTGTGAAACGTTCTGACCATGTAGTTTTGCTTCAGACGGACAACATAACAAACGCTCTCCAATCGACTACTTTTCTGACTGTCGGCTTTTCTTAACGCTTCTATTTTCCCCCCCTTTTTTTTTCCTTTCTTTTCTATCATTCCATTCCTCCTCCTTCGTAATACTTTACTTATACACTTCAACATAGACCACCCGTTTTGATTTCCAGTCAATTCCGGGTGTGTAGCGGGTTTTCGTCACCTAACATCACATCTCCGAGAACCGCTGATGCCACCCGAGAAATCAACACACGATCACACCGCATCCATGTCTGTGTCAAAGTCTCCATGTTTGTCTGTTGTTCAGTTTGTCCAGCCAGGTCCAAACACCGAGGAAATACTTGTCGAAGGTGAGTAAAATACTGTTTCTTTAGACTAACTCAGAAAAGAAAAAAGAAATGGAAAAAAAAAGTCCGTTTTTCATGCCAATTTTTTAAAAAAATCTTAGTTCTTGAATCTACGATTGCCGACCAATTAGCATTTATCCCTAAATTCTATGTTCCGGATTACAGAAAAAAAGAAAAAGTCCTAACTATTGAATCAGTCGATTCAACTGTAAAAAAAAAAAAAAAAAAAAAATGAACCAAAAATTAAAAAAAAAAAAAAATAAAGTACTCATTTCGCTCAAAAAATAGACAGAAACTTTTCAATAAAGTTCCGCACAAAACATTTTAGATCCTATTCGATGACTATGTTATCGATATTTTTATCGACCTGCTCCAAATCAAACTGTCAACAGAATTTATTTCTCTCATTTTCTACAAACAAAACTAGAACAGAAATCATGCGAAAAAAAAAGTAATACGTAAAACTTTTGTTTAAATAACTTGTACTTAAAAAAGTATTTAGAAATGTTACCTTTCCATTGCAAACTAATAATGTTTTTATTCTTTGCAAGAAATATATTTTGCCGAATTTCTAAAAGACAAAATAACTCCAGTATAAAATGAATTATGCAGTCTTAATTTTTTGCAGGATATTGTAACTCGATGAATTTTATATTTGTTTCAGTTTTCTTGCTGTTTTTGTAAATATATATATATATATATATATAAGCAAAACTCTAAATGTACAGAATTCTTAAACGTAAATTTAAGCTATATATATCGAAGAAAAAAATTGGATTTTTTTAAAGTAAACTATAAAGTGGACTGGAAGAAACTTTTACTGTAGAAATTAGATAAGTTTTTCTTTGTTTTTCTGTGATTTATTATTACTTATATATTTTTATATAATAATTTCCAGAAAATTGACATTTTTGAATATGAGAGCTAAATAAGAAATGCTCTTATGTAAATGACCATTGTAAATTTTTTAGCGGAATATCGAGATCAGACACTTTTCAAAATACGGACTTTTTCAGATTTCACAATGGTAATACTGGTAAAGAATTCTGTCTTTTGCTTGGGAATGGTACTGCCATTAAACTTTGTAAATAGTCACACTAAGTCGGTAAATTAAGACTAAAGATAATATTACTTTATTTGTAAGGTGGTAAGTGACATGAACTAAAAACTGATTAAAAATTACTAACATATTCGTTATTAGTTTTAAAAAAATGTTCTGAAAAGTGATTTTTTTTTAATTGGAGAAAATATCCGGTTTTTAGAGGTTTTTTTCTTTCAGAATTTCGGAAAAGATTTTGTCTACTTTTGTTATTTTTATTATCAACCACGGACATTTCTTTCCCATAAACAGTTAATAATTTCACTTTAGCAGTTGAATTTCTTTTTGAACGCCACTGGATGGACCGCGACTTCAGGTAATCCCAAAAAAACATCAAGCAAGCATGAAGGTCAACAGATATCTAAATTTCGCGAAATTATTTGTTTAAGTCAGAATTAATTTAGTTTATTCTAGAATTGTATTTCGTTTCAAGAAACAAATGAAATTGTGAATGGTAGAATGTTAGTAAGAAACAACAATCTTGTCCTTAAAGTTTCTTTTGACTTGCAGTTTTTATTTATTTAAAGGAAAAGATAGTGACAGATTTAGTTCTTAAAGAAATCTAAATCATTTGGAACTGTAAAAACAGGAAACTCGCAAAAATATAATAAAGTCCGTGTAGATATATTTAGGAAATGTCTGCTAAAATCTTCGCATTTGACTTTTAGGAACCGATGAAATCGATAATAAGTTGGCGGTGGATTTTAAGAGTAAATGTTTATCGAGAAACAACGCAAAAACTTCAAATATTCTGTCGCCATCTTCATTGAGATGAGTATAGTAAGTAAATTAATCTGGGTAAAAATTTGAAAATATCGTCTATACTCGTATAAAAGTCGTATTTTTATTTTTTATTTTTTTAGCTATACTTAAATTAAGGCATCGACAATTCATTAGAGCGTTTTTCAGAACGTGAAATTTATGGGTGAATTTAAATTATAACATTAAAAAAGCCCAACTTGTTGAAAAATACAAGTCCCAGTCAAAGTTAAAGTTACCATATTGAGCTACAAGTAGAGATTTGGGCTACGTTTCAAAGTCAAGCGTTAATAAATTTTGAATTAGCTCCAGTCTCTCTCTCTCTCTCCTTTAGTAACCCAGATGAGACCATCTTGTTTTAAAAATATCCCCAAAATTTAAAAGTAGTGAAATTCAAAATTTAATAGTGCCGGTTTTTTCAAAAGTAGTAAAATCTGACAAACATGGTTTCTCTAATTAAATAATGAATTTTATTTTTATTTTATTTTCTTAACCGTGACATTTTACATACTACTAAAATAAATATCTACTTCACGTATATCAATTCATTCATAGACACACGTTGTGATATTATTTATAATATACTCGAGTATCGTGCATATTTTTATGACCAGTTTTTTACGCGAACATTATATACAGGTAATTTCTTTGAAGTGGTTAAAAATCATGCATTTTCGGTGACTGATTGCACTATATACAGTTAATTTTTTTTCTGGTGAAGTCCAAAAAAATTCATTGATTTCACTATACATGAAATCGACGTATACATGGTTATACACGGTATTTTATTTGTTTATTTATTTACTGAGAATAACTCACCTTATTACTTTTATGTCAATATCTGCCATTCTTAATTCTCCTAAGAATAATAAGATCTGGATGATCTTCGAAAAAAAAAAAAAATTTACATGGAAATTAATTTATCTAAACTTTTTATTTTAGTATTTGAAATCGACTTTTACATGAGTATATACAGTAGCGAAATTTATTAGCACGGTTTATAACGCGATTAAAAAAAAGAAATCCTGTAAAATCATGTATATTTTTGAGTGGGTGTGTTAACTTGAAAAAAATATAGTTTCTTCTTTTTTATTGTAAAATTGATTTTTTCGGGTTTTTTTGTTGTTTGTTTTTTGCAGCAATCATTTTTAGATAAGAAATTGTTTTAGGGAATTTTCTTAAAAAACTGTAAAATAATAATTAAAAAAACAATTATTTTATGACCAAACTTTTATTTAAAAATAAACAAAAATATCACAGCGCGTGATAAAAAACAAAAACAAAAAAGTAAAAAAAAACAAAAAAACAGCGTGTTTACAGTGACGTTCTCTGTCGCCCTCAGTCTCCCTTAAAACGGGTGTGAGGTTTGCATGTCGCTCACTCCTGCTCGCTTACTGGTCTGGCTTTGCTGGCTGGCTGGTCAGCCGGCAGATTAACCTCTGAAAACGGGGTTCAATCGTTATGCAGCAGTCGTTGTATCACAATCCCGACGGCCGTATGCATGAGAAATTTAAACCTGAAAATAAGAACATGCTGAAAAAAGAAAAAAAAAAATTACTGCACTTGTTAAAATCAAGTCGCCGAGATTTGGGGATCTGGTCGTGTGCCGGTGGGGAAAATTGCAACCACATGATGACTTTTTTTGTTTCTTGTTTTCTCGAGTAAAAAAAAAAAATGAATCCTGTAAAAATATCCGAATTATTTATTTTTTTTTTTTTAAAGAAAGAATTGATGTATAAAAATGTATCGGTTTATACACGAAAACCGTCATTTTTTGTTGCCTTTATTTATCTTTCTTTGGATTCTTAGAAAAATAAATACCTTCTTGTTAAAAATATTCTCATACAACAATATCAAAACAATAGATTATCTTTGTTTTTTGAATTACGTAATTGTATGTTACACAGCCTTGTCGGTAAACCTGTCTTGTGTTTTGCTACGTGCATTGGTGACATCATAACAGACGATGCTGAAATTTAAAAGCTGAATTAAAAACAAATGAATAAAAATTTAGCATCTATAATCACTCTTTTTATCCTCAAACATTAAGCCTCTTGATTTTGTATAATGGGCGGAATACAGCGGCATCTCCTTTTTGAGGGTTGGACGGGTCCTA